AAATAAATGTTTATACATGTTATACAATATTCTTTTTATAATTCCATTTGTGGTGCAACCTCAATATTTAACCAATACAGTACAGACGTCATGGACATCCTTTTTGAAATATATTCCCACTCTAAATTTAACCTTTTTGGTAGCGAATTGTAAAATCCTTCACATTACGAAGGTTTTAACAATACCGGTTAATTTCTTTCATATATTTCTTACTTCGCCTGTTCTCCAGCAAATACACAGTACTTACATTTCCTCTCTATAAAGTTAAAGCAATTGACTGACGTTAAAGTAAACAAGTATATAGTGTAAACGCAGCCAAAGCCTTAAATCTTGTCAAATGAAGCCTCAATGTAACATGATCATGCAATTAAGAAATATAAGATGTTTCATGTTTTTGCACAGGCTTATGTAAGCCGAGGAGAACTTTGGGAGAAAAAAGCAGATCAGTGGAAACCGGAGACGGAAGGTTGAGGGTTGCACCCGCTCGAGAGGTTGCCTTAATTTTATTACTCTGTCCTTAGTTATCCCTTAATATTTGTAAAGTTAGAAAAACTTAAAAACTTAAGATTTTAAAATTTTAAATTAGAGAAGAACTTGTAAACACATTTATCATTAATTCATGTCAATATTTTACTGTATATAATCTACTTATATTTAAATAAACTACCACTGCATCACATTACTACCATATATGGTGTATCATATAAATAATATCGTCACTAATAATGAAGATGACACCACGTGATGTAGAATTATGTTTATTTTGAAAAACTCCATTGTTTACTTTAGTTGTTTACTAATCAGTAAAAGACAACAATACGTACGCTATATGTACCTGTTTATCATGATGATAAACTTTATTGAAGACAGAAAGTGAGATATAATATTCTTCAATATTTTAATCAAGAAAATACTGTCCAAAAAAATTTAATTCCTCAATTCAAATGAACTTATGTCAAAAACGTAAAAGTTTTATTAATTTTCATCACAAGTTATTGACATGACGTCATGATGATGTTTTTTTATAGGGGAATTGTTGACAGTATAGAACATTTTGTTTCTTTAAGTTCATATGTACACAATAAAGGAACAAAAATGATCTCTCACATTTTTCAACTAATGACCATAAAACTCGAGAGCTATGATCTATAACAGGACAGACGCACGGAATTGAAGTCACAGAAAATTCTTTGGTTTTAAATGACAAACGAACGGAGAATTTATTTGAATATTTACCTGAATATATCCCTGAATGGGCAAATAAAGAAATTAAAAATGCCCAGTTGAAGCATTGGACGCATTTGAGCAAAAAGGAAAGAAAAAACCCGGTTTTCAAACATTGATTTGCCCGTTGGCTCGTGGCCACACAGTTTTTATCACAATGACGTCATACCCGTGTATCTATAACTGTATAGACAACGGTTAAATGTTATCTATTTGTTAAATAGAAATAACCAAATTATCTAACCATACATTTTTATTAAAAAGTAAATCATCAACATGAAATTTGTTCAGAGGTACAATACATAATAATAAGTGTGACAGAGCATCTTACAGTAGTAGTCAAATCTAGAGGACGCCCTGTTTAAATGACAATTCATTTATGAAGATTACAAGTAGAATCTTAGAAAGGAATAAACAAATATTCATGATCAATTAGTATAGAAGCGTTCTTTTTAAATACAAGTCATTTGTGTTATAAAAAGCAATTATACATCGTTTCAGATTATTGCAAAACATAGATAATATTTTACATTCTTTAATAGCAGGAGGTAAGACATTCCAAGAAATATTACCGATAAATTTAAAAGATCTTTTGCAAAATTGGTCCAAATTTATTTTTGGTAAATATAGATAATTTTCTAAAGATTGCCTGGTAGAATAGTATACTTCTTCTGTAGAAAACTATAGTAGGTGGAAACAAGCAATCATCCTTACGACCATCAACATCTATGTGCAATTTTCTCAACAGCTTTTTGAATTTACTATTAAAGTTTGAGTTGATGTATTTATTCAGGAACATTAAGTTTTAAAAATCGAATTCTGCAATTTAAACTCTCAATAATAGCTAAAGTTCCTGTGTTAGAATGCATAGTTATAAAAGACATAGAATAGTCGCGTGCGTTAAATTTAGCGCACTTTTTACCACTCTTTAAATCTACAGCAACCAATAATCCATAAGACATTCCAATGCAATAAGATTTGTGTAAGACTAGGTTGGCTATCAAATAATAGTCACCGACATGCAAAATGGCATTCACATCACCATTCTTGTGAACATTAATTACATAAATGACCATAACTTCGTGATGTGTGCAAAATGTTATGATTGCTTGTTTACTATCACTTATACAGCAGTTGAAATTTAGATCATTTACATTTATCTGTTTCCGAACAAATTCTTCAATGACAGCTGTTATGGGTATTCCATCAGTATGCCAAGGTTTCAAGAAAAGTTCATTGTTGTTATTTCCCCATTTCCATAATGTGTATTCTGTTTTGTGTACAGTTAAAATAACAGAATTATCAGGTGATACAGCTGCTGCTTTAAATTTTGAACTATCAACAGGAAGTCTTTTGTTGTATTGTATCTCAACCTTGGTAATTCTAACAACTTGAACAAACTTTTCTTCGTCAATACAAACTAAGACATCACCAAATGTTAAGATTTTTCGCGGTCTAAATCCAATGTTAACATGCTTTGCTTGAGTAGAATCTACAAAATTTTTAGACGAAGTTGATATCTTCATAAGATGATCAGAACCATCCCATATCCACAGTAAACCATCCGACCACCAACATCCTAATGCATTCTTCAGTTGCATTGGTACAGTTTGAATAATAGTACAACGTTCAATTCTCCAAATATGAATGTTGACGTGGTCACCAACAGCGAAAGCTGCCAAAAAAGTTCCATCCGGTGAAAAACAACAACATTTAATTTCAAATTTCTCAAAGATAAATGAAGGTCTCCAAAGATGATCACGTTTGAAAATTTTAAGCTTGGAAAAATACGGCACAACGTAAAATTCTTTAAACGAGATGGGATGGACTTTTTTAAGAGTCCTTCTAACACATTTACACCTAACATATGGTAAACAAAACTCGATTTCTCCTTGATCGTTGTATTTTGTCAACTGAGTGATTTCAGAAAGCTTTCCATTCTGGCTTGTATGATAAAAAATACAATCACGATAATGGTGCGTTATCATTGAATGTAAACGTAGTAGATATTCCCTTTTATTTGAAAAAATGTCGATTGCCTTTGGGAATTGAAAAACATACGAAGACTTGACGAATTCTGCAACAAAGAACTCTGAATATTTATCGGTGCATTGTAGTTTTCGGTAATCAACAACGCAGCGTTGATCGATTCTTTGCAAAGTTAATGAATTCCATGCAGTGAACACATGTTTAGAAGAAATATCATATTTTGCTGTAATAAACAAACCAGAATCTAAAAAAGAGCAACGATTAACGACATCATCTGACTGTAAACATAATAACAAACGTCCATTGTTAACGTCCCACAACTTTACTTCAGTAGATCCATCACTAGTTACCAGTCTATTTCCGGTAGGTGAAAAGGAGCAACAACAGATGTTTCCACCTACAAAACCTACTTCCATTGTTGATAGATCGTAATATTTGTCATATAGGGACATAAATTTGTATACATCATCTACATCATGCCATTTATCCAACCTTGAATCATCGAGTGCAGGGCCGAGAGTGCATCGTTCTCTCGGCACGGCACTGCATTCGAAGTCTAGAAGTTCAAAAATAGATATGAGACCATTTTCATATCCTACAGCAAGAAGTTCTTCATTGGACGACACACAAAGAGATGTAACGTTTGCACGCATGGAGACAGTCAAATGATGATGGTTTGTTAAATATGTCCAATCTAAATCCTCAAACCAAGAAAACTTTCCTTGTTTCAATAAATTCCTTGCCAATAATCTTTTTTCGTTACTGCCACCAATTCTGTTTGCAATACTTTGTAAATAAATTTTACCAAATATACATGACTCCTTTATTGTAAAAAACAAATGAAATATTAGTTCCTCAAGTACATCTTTTCTCAAGAAATTTCGTAGTTCCTTACTGATTTCAAACAACTCAGACCTAATGGTTTCCCTGTTAATGTCTTCCACAACCATTAACCTCGCACAAACCACTTTGACATCTACTGCCCAGCTAAAGTCAACATTTTCGCCACATTCTATCATATGATAGATTCCATTCTTCAAAGCATATTTAATCATAGCAGTGTTCATCTGATCTTCAAAAATGTTCATCTTCTTAATTTGTTCAAACACTTTTTCACAAGCATGCCATAAGAACTTATGACCATTTTTTGGATTAACTGTAAACTCATGCTGTTCGTAACCATCTGATTTCAACCAATCAATGAGAGATTTGTGATACACGGTTAAACAATCATCGTAAACTGGCAAAATTTGAGATAGCACTTCAATGATTTTACTGCGGACTTCAAACAGGATGTCACCAAATAAACTTAAATAGCTCAACAGTAAAGTTAATGGTAAAGACTCTCGACAGGCAGCCAACAATACAACAAATTTCATGAAAGTAATTTCTGAGATAACAGAATTACTGGGACTTTTCTGCGTTAACAATTCTTTTACTCTTTTGAATTGCTTTGTGTAAACACCGCTTAACCCACTAGGGACCAATTGTAGAATGTTTTCGTAAGTAAGCTCAGTATTTTCTTCTTTCAAGCTCAGTTGTGCGTAATACGCATAAAGAAATGATCCCTCACATTTTTTAACTAATGACAATAGAAGGTAGAGATTTCTCTTCACCCGATTATTCAACTGATTTTTCAAATACTTGTACAGGTCTTCTTCGTTGTTTTCATCACGAGGACGAGTTGTAATTTCCACAGGATTCATGTCTTTCAACTGCTTTTGAACAGGAAGTTCTGGACGACTGGTGATGAGGATTTTAATCCATTTAGGCAGTCGGTGAAATTCTCATGCAATCAATTCCAACAATTCACTTTTGCCATCAACTTGGCTTTCATCTAAGGCATCAATAACCAAAAGCATTGGTTCATGATCTTCCCATGAATGCAATGGATTATTTAATAAAACAAGGAAAACATCGGCGATTGATTCTTTGGAATGATTTCTCTGTAATTCTTCTTTTAATTTAGATTTGAAATCTGATATTGTATCACACATGCTACTAGCCAATGATTCTATCAATATTCGAGGATTTCTATAATCTGATCTATTATATCTGCAGAAATGACGAGCAGCAAGTTTCTTCTTTTCAGAATATCGTCGACACACCTCAGCAGCAAACACACTTTTACCAACGCCAGGACCGGCAATCAAAATCATGACATTAGAAGCGTCTTCACTTCTATCGTTAAACCAAGTGTTGAGTTTTTCAAATAACCATTGTCTAGTGCCTTCAAGGTATTTCTTGTTAAGATTTTTTATAAGACCGTTGAAATTACACTTTCCAAGCTTTTCGACAACTAAATATGTTTTGTCCAGTAACATTTTTTTTACTCCTGCTACATCATCTCTTGTTTTCTTTACATCCTCATTTAAGTTCGTAACTTTTGTTACCATCTCTTGTTTCATCTCTATAACATTTCTTTCTATTACTTTCACATCTTCTTTGATTTTTTCAGTGACATCGATTAACTGCTCTTCTGTTTTATACCATTCTTTTAACATTTCAATATAATTTGCCTCATCGGTAGTGAGGGGAGCTTTCTTTAATTTATCAATTTCAGTTTGTCGAATACCCAGACCAACCAATGCTTTTGAAATTTCCTGCCACAAGTTCTCAAACTCACTATCATCTACACTAGTTGTAGTTATGTGACCGTACACTTTGTTTCGATAAAACTTTATTCTTGCAATGCTTGCTGAGTCTGAAGAATCTGAAGAGGAAGGAAGATAATCCCATCCTCTAGTTGGCGCTTTTAGACCACATATATTTCGCAATAAGACAGTTAATAATGTGATGTCAAAGTTTTCAATGTCAGGGTCACCAACTGACGGGTAAAGAAGATCCCATTGCTCATTCTTAATGACTTTAAATTTTATAGATTTTAGTGTCTTCTTTGTAGAGGGATCTTTAAGTTTACTAGCTAAACTTGATGGCTTTAATAAAGATTGCAGTGTTGTTTTTAAGGCTTGGGTTCCTTTATTGATTAAAAGTTTACTCAAACGAGATCCATTTTCCTCAATCTTTAATTTCTTAGGTGGCGAAGCCATTTTTTATTCTAGAAATGAGGAATGAGTTTGTGAAAAAAGGTATAATTTAAAATGTACAAAATGTTCACAAAAGTTAAAAGGACATATTAAAAATAGTAGTACAAGTCATTTATAAAGACTTGTGTGCTTCATTTCTTTCTCTCGATAAAAATTGTGTTCACTGCCTAGTGACATGACCCAATAATTGATCTTACATCAAGGCATTAAAATAATAGAATGATACAATGAAAAAACACTTAAAATGATAATATTTTCGCCCACTCGGCGCGAGAGGCAACATATATCTTATGATACTAACTCCTAGTTAATAAATAATATATCTTATTTGTCTAACAATCGTGTGGTGAAGAGATACGTCGTTCTTTTAACAGGATATATCAAACTGGTTTGCTAGGTTGTATGAATACTTGCTTATTAACATTTTGATAGGACTACATTGCCGATGATTCTGTTCCAATTTAAAATTTTTGCTAGACTGCAGTTTAGCGGACACCCGAAGCGCTTGTGACCGCGGGCTCGTATTTGCTTGGGATTATAAGGTAGGGTTTGGGTCAGCGTCCAAGGTGTTCGCTAAACTGCAGTAGTCCCTCATAGAGCCATAGCTTGACTCTAATCATATATTTAAACTCTTCGTCATTTTTGACAAGCTGCTAAATCCAAATCTAATTGAAATGAAAATAAAGAAAACTATCTCCTATCTGATTTACATTTTCCTCACCAAAACACAGAACACAGGGTGAGAGATAAACAACGCGACATATGAATAAAATACCTAACAAAATACAAGTACGGACTGCACAGACTATCAAGTTCCTTGTATTTTTTGTCCAAACCAGATATATTTGATGTCTGTAATCACCACTAAAGCGTATAAATGAATGATATTTTCAGCTGCAAGGTTTTGACTATAGTCACTAAAACAAAGCGCAGATTATACGCTCTAAAGCATAGGTAATTGAAGAACAACATAAGTATTGACTTTACTTAAAACAATTCTATTCGTGATCGTTAACACATACGATTATTACCGATGACACAGCCGAGGATATCACAACGAACAAATACTGCCTGCCTCACTGCCTCACTCGCATGTACAGCGGCTACCCACAAAAACTAACTAGTGATAAATTATATTATTGTTATAATACACTATAACTTGACGTCTACAACTGCTCCCCCCCCAAAAAAAAATGTTGTTGCCCCCACAAATTTTACATCCTAGCCACATGCCTTCTCATATTGATAACACTTAAAGTGTGATTCCGTTTGAAGATGCTACGAGAATTTCTAAAAACTTAACAATTGATGAATGTCTTCTGCATGATGAGATAACTTAAGAAAAGTAAAAATAATACACAAATTATTCATTACTTTTTTAGGCAAACTGAAACGTAAAAATATATTAATGGAGTATGTCGCGGTGATACGAGAACAACTACAGAAAGGAGTTGTTAAAAAGGTGAATCATAAAGCGAAGGGTAAGGAATTCTATATGCCACACAGAGCAGTCGTAAGGAAGGACGACGTGGTGGTAGTGTAGAAAAGTGTGATCTTTGGTGGAAGGGACAATCCTGGCAGACTCGACCACAAGATTGGCCCCCTCCTCTCGTGACGAGCGCTACTGAGTATAGCAACGCAGAGAAGAAGATCAAACGGGAGTTATCATTCCTGACTGTTGAAAACCGTCGTCTTGACCAAATTCTCGATAAGTTCGAGCTACATAAAATAATCAGAATTTTTGGATGGATGGCACGGTTTACGCACAACTGTCTTAACCCAAAGAAGACGAGAAATGGAGCATTGACTACGGATGAAATGTTGGCACAAGAGGAGTATTGAATAAAACGAGCGCAACAACAGTTCGTGAACACGGAAGAATTCTTTAAAGATAAAGAGCAACTCAATCTCCAGTTAAGTAATAAGGGAATATGGATATATCGTGAGGAATACCCAATATACCTCCCCGACCAAGCGAATTTTACTTCGAAATTGATGCAGAGAACTCATTTTAACACTTTGCACGGTAGCGTAGGATTAACTATGGCCCATGTACGCGAGAAATTTTCGTTCCAAGACTTCGCAAGTTAACAAAGAAAATCATTGGATCTTGTTGGGGCTGTAAACGATTCAGACAGACACCAGCGCAGGTACCTTGTCCTGGTCCCCTTCCGGAGACAAGAACAGACCAATCCAATACATTTGAAATCATTGGCGTAGATTTCGCAGAACCCATAACGTACAGAAAAAATAAAAGAGAAGGGAAATCCTACATCGTTTTATATTCATGTTCTCTGACACTGGCAGTATTTCTTGATCTCGTGCCTAGCTTGGAAACCATTGAATTCATCAAAAGCTTTAAACGCCTTGTGGCTAGAAGAGGAAAACCTTCCATCATATACTCAGGTAACGCTACCACCTTCGTGGCAGCGTCAAAGTAGCTGAAGAGTGTACAGAAAGACGAAAAGCTCAATAACTTTCTCAACAAAGAATTAGTGTCGTGGCGGTTCAATCTCAGTAGGGCTCCCTGGTGCGGAGGTCAGTTGAACGGTTAATAGGATTGATGAAGAGCTGCTTCTATAGGGCTATTGGAAACGGTGAGTTAACTTGGGATGAGTTGTCTGAAGTTTAATTGGAGGTGGAATTAGCGATAAACAGTAGACCGCTTTGTTACATGGAGGAAGACGACAACAGTCTACTCTTACACTTAACTCAATGCTTTTGTTAAGTCCAGTCACCTTCCTGAATTAAAACCTTTTCACTAACCCAAGAGTCTGAAAAAACGTGCAAAGTATTTAAAGAACACTAAGAAAGAAATGTGGCGTCATTGGACCAGAGAGTAAATGAGAGGCTTAAGAGAACATCATCGAATGAAACATAATGCACGAGGAACAACTATTTCGGTGGGTGATATCGTATTGGTGAAGTCAAACCAAAAGAACCGAAATCATTGGTTGATGGGTAAGGTAGTTGAATTAATTGAAAGCAGAGATGGCGTGGTGCATGCGACAAAACTGAGAACAGGTGGAGATCACTTAGACAGAGCTTTTCAACATTTATAACCTCAGGAGTTATCATGCAAATCAACCCAGACAGCGGACGGGGAGCACAAAAAGGAGAAGATATCAAAATTAAATCCAAACGCCGAACATTTTGTGCCTATAAGACAAGAAACCATCGAGGCAGAACAACGTGTGTGAGAAATTTTACAGGATAAGAACGATGTACATTAACCATAACATTAACTACTATAGCATATGACTTGTAACATAAAAGTCATATGAGGGAGTGTGTGGGAAACTTTATGTTACTTTTGGGAAAAGACTAAACACGTGGGTTTTGTTTTGGGGGGGATAAAAATTATGATGTTCGTATGTTGCTTATGAGCGTATTTCCTTTGTTATAAAAAATAAATCAAAAATATCTTTGCGTGAATATCGAGTGTGAGTAAATAAGGAAACTTTGAAGAAACATTTCCCTGTTTCCAAAAACATTTATACATTGTACTGTTTACTTAAGTTTAATTATTTTTAAAACGAATTGCCACATTATGACGTGGCATCTGTGAATGTCAAGCGCATCACTGACTCAGAATTATTTATTATCAAATCTTTTCTTCGTGTAAGAGCCGCAATTTTTACAGTGGGTAATTTGAAACAAAAAATGAAACCTACTTTTCAGTCGTGGTATTAAATATAGCTTTAAAAGTCACTTATAGAATCATTCAAACGATTTTTATTCGGAATGGAAATAAACATTCATTTGTTTATAGTCATACTTCATACTACGCAATGCTTCGGTATCAAATTTCTTAAGTTAGAAATGTAAATACAAAATCTCGGTTAACTTACGTAAAATTACCTTTGTTTTAGAAATAAGACTTCACATACGACGACCGTGTGGACAAAATTATGCTTGCTTTAGTTCTTTACATGTTACGTACCTAACAAAAGATAAGAAATTTAATATAAAAAACGTGACTACATACATATCAGTTAAAAAATGGTGATCATAATTCATACCTTGTTACATCAATCTTTTATCCATATAAGTTTTGTTACATAAACACATTTGAATAACGAACGAAGATGAAGAGTGAGTCAGGATCTCCTTCAACAAACAGTACTATAAAACATTAATGACATCTATGTAGAACATTCTAGTTATATAACTAAGTATACATCACTGACTAAAAACAATTGTTATAAAAATAAAAATACATAAATAAAAACCTCATGCAGAGTACATAATAACATTGAGATTAGTCAAATTCCAAAGGACTAATGCTAAATCTTATAAAATTTTACAAGTTTTAACTCAGGAATAGAGAATCATCTAAGACAGGATTTGAATATCAATGATTAAGAAACAATTGTCTTTCGAAACGGTGAATGAATTTTTTCTTATCATTGATAAAAAATTCCATACATGTATAGTCTTGCATAAATCAGTTCTTAGTATAAAAAACCTTTGATATTGAATAAACCATTGTAAATTATGAATACATACCAAACATCAACTGCACGCAATTATAATTACTTATGATCAATAAAGACACTGTAGATACAAGGGTAAAGGATGCAATGAAAGTAAACCTTAAAACTGTTAAACAAACATGTAAAATTTACAAAAATAGATTCGGTTGCGTCCTTCTCAGTGTAAATACATTTTTCCTATGTTAACATTTGCTTATTTTACAAATGTTCTTACTTTTCAAATGAATAATTTGCTCAATACAATGAACAACATTTTGCTAGACACACAGCGATTAGTAAAATGTGGCGCCGGTAAAAAAAGGGAGGTGATGCATGATTGGACATGCTATCCTTTCTACATAAATTTTTAGAGATTCCCATTTTTTCCGTAGACAAGTATCTTATTTCACCTCTCCCATGAGTTTGAAAGTGTTTTGCTTTCCCTTGCCATGGAGCTATTGTCAATAGTTAGAAAGTTGGTATATCAATTTAGATATGATTTCTCATGCATGTTTAGTCATACTTTATCGAGATGCTGCTTTAGCTAATTTGTTATGTCGGTAATGTAGTTCTAAAATATCGCTTAATATATGTAACATTACCTTCCTTTAAGAAATAAGACGACCGTGTGAACAAAATTATGCTTGCTTTAGTTCTTTACATGTCACATACTCAACAAACGGATGAGAGATTTAATATAAACAACGCGACCACATACATATCAGTTGAAAAATGGTGATCATAATTCATACCTTATTGTTACATCAATCTTTTATCCACATAAGTTTTGTTACATAAACACATTTAAATAACGAGCAAAGATGAAGAGTGAGTCAGGATCTCCTTCAACAAACAGTATTATAAAACATTAATGACATCTATGTAGAACATTCTAGTTATATAACTAAGTATACATCACTGACTAAAAAAAATTGTTATAGAAATAAAAATACATAAATAAGAACCTCATGCAGAGTACATAATAAAATTAAGATTACTCAAATTCCAAACGACTAATGCTAAATCTTATAAACTTTCACAAGTTTTAACTCAGGAATAGAGAATCATCTAAGACAGGATTTGAATATCAATGATTAAGACACAATTGTCTTTCGAAACGGTGAATGGATTTTTTCCCTTCATTGATCAAAAATTCCATACATGTATATTCTTGCATAAATCAGTTCTTAGTATAAAAAGTCTTTGATATTAAATAAACCATTGCAAAGTATGAATACATGACTAACATCAACTGCACGCAATTATAATTACTGACCAATAAAGACACTGTAGATACAACAGTAAAGGATGCAATGAAAGTAAACCTTAAAACTGTTAAACAAACATGTAAAATTTACAAAAATAGATTCGGTTGCGTCCTTCTCAGTGTAAATACATTTTTCCTGTGTTCAACATTTGCTTATTTTACAAATGTTCTTACTTTTCAAATGAATAATTTGCTCAATACAATTAACAACATTTTGCTAGACACACAGCGATTAGTAAAATGTGGCGCCGGTAAAAAAAGGGAGGTGATGCATGATTGGACATGCTATCCTTTCTACATAAATTTTTAGAGATTCCCATTTTTTCCGTAGACAAGTATCTTATTTCACCTCTCCCATGACTTTGAAAGTGTTTTGCTTTCCCTTGCCATGGAGCTATTGTCAATAGTTAAAAAGTTGGTATATCAATTTAGATATGATTTCTCATGCATGTTTATCGAGATGACGCTTTAGCTAATTTGTTATGTCGGTAATGTAGTTCTAAAATATCGCTTAATATATGTAAAATTACCTTCCTTTAAGAAATAAGACGACCGTGTGAACAAAATTATGCTTGCTTTAGTTTTTTACATGTCACATACCCAACAAACGGACGAGAGATTTAATATAAACAACGCGACAACATATATATCAGTTGAAAAATGATGATCATAATTCATACCTTATTGTTACATCAATCTTTTATCCATGTAAGTTTTGTTACATAAACACATTTAAATAACGAACGAAGATGAAGAGTGAGTCAGGATCTCCTTCAACAAACAGTATTATAAAACATTAATGACATCTATGTAGAACATTTTAGTTATATAACTAAGTATACATCACTGACTAAAAACAATTGTTATAGAAATAAAAATACATAAATAAGAACTTCATGCAGAGTACATAATAACATTGAGATTAGTCAAATTCCAAAGGACTAATGCTAAACCTTATAAAGTTTCACAAGTTTTAACTAAGGAATAGAGAATCGACTATTTAAGACAAGATTTGAATGCCAATGATTAAGACACGATTTTCGAAACTGTGAATGGATTTTTTCCCCTTGCTTAATCAAAAATTCTATACATCTATATTCTTGCATAATTCAGTTCTTATTATATAGAACCTTTATTATTAAATAATCCATTGTAACTTACGAATACATTTCAAACATCAACTGCATGCATTATAATTACTTAGCTATGGGAAAAAACACTGTCGATACAACAGTAAATGATGCAATGAAAATAGTCATTAAGATAATGCTAGTCTCAGATGTACAGTGACGCTGAGAAGAAAATTGTAGTTTAAAAATCTCAATCTTAAACTATCTCCTATCAAGATTAATCTCTGTGAATTTGGTGTTATCATTTCTCTCTATATCATTGGGAATGTATTTGGTATAGGCATAAAACATCTCACTTCATGGTAGGGGAGAAAATTGTCGAATGATGTGTGCTAATGATATTGGGCTAAGCCACAGGCGGATCTAGGATTTTTCAAACATCAATCATAAAACGTCGGAGGCGCTCCACACCTGGGGGTCTGAGGCATTCTCCCCTGAGAAATTTTGGATTCCAGAGAATTGAAAATGCCATTTTCAGCGTTTTAGAGCAACACAAAATGTATTTTGTGGGCATCGTTTTTGCGTAAAAACAACACATTTTTTGCTTACGTTTTTTTCAAAAAAAAAATGAAGTGAACAATACTTGAATGTTTTGCCAAATATTTAGGCTCATTATCATGCCAAATATATGGCTCATTAGCATGTCTAGGAAGGTAAAATTTAGTTTACAATAATGCTATTCAAAAACAGATATTGTCTTTAAAAATTTCTACCAAGTTGTCAGGCATAGACCCCCCTAGAGACCTCCATTCAAACCTCTATGTAATGAGTTAAGTTAGAAATTTGGTACTACAAGTGACAGTTCATAGATATAGAAAAGCTCAGACTTCAAACCATGCAAGTTTATTGTAACCCTTTACCCATCTCCACATCAGTGCCAGCAAATTCACTTTTTGAGAAAAAACTTAAAAATTTTTTCAGGCAAAGATTAAGCAAAAATTACCAGAGTGAAAATTTGCAGTTAAGGACAGCTTAATGCCATAAATGTTTAGTAGGCATTTCACTAGACTATTATATCCTGTAAGTATATGCAAGGTGTGCTATATAGCAATCACTAGTAGCATTGTATTTGCAAATAAAAACAGAAAGTAATCAACATGTCTTTAATTATATAATTACATGAATGTTAAAATTGGTTCATGTGTCATGCTTACTGGTTATGATAAATATCTTTTCATATGATCAAAGCTCATTTAAATGTAAATCTGAAATAATTTAGTTTAGAAATTATAATGATCATCAGAAAAATTACCTAGTGATCATGAAAAATACTTTGCTGTTTTGCCAAATTTCAAGGTTTATCTGCATACATAGGAAGACATTTTTACTTTATAGAAAATGCTTTTCATACATCAATAGCCCTTTGGAATTTATGGCAAACAATCTGGTATGAGCCGTATATTAACACACCTTTACATCTCTACATGAGGTGTTCAGTTAGAAAAGGGGACAATATGTGACATGGGACAACATTTTATGTATGAAAGGTTTAATACCATTCCAGTCAAATTGTCAAAATAAAAAGCTTCATGGATCAGAAGACTAAAAATCACAGGTTATAGTAAACAGCTTCTCATGTAATCAATGTTAGTTTTCTCAAATCTTAAAAAATGTGTAGTGTAACTGTCCAATGATTGAATGATCAAATCAATGATCATAAATTGAAAAGCCCCAAACATTTGTTTATGATAAAGTAAATAATAGTATGGCGCCTTATGGCTACAGATTTTTTGTCTATTGAAATATATTTGCAGGAATGTAGGATTCCATCTGATTGTAGTTTAGTTTCTATCATGCTTTAGAAAATTACTATGAAACGATCAAACATTCAATTCAGACAGTGAGCTTGTATGTTAGTTCAGTTGGCTAACAGTCGAAATCGGTCAAACTAATCACAGTAAGACAAAAATTCAAATGAACCAATTGTAAGATAGCAATTGGACTCCCTTATACGTCCGGCCACCCCTATTATCAGTCGAGACCATTCCAGACTGTCCACTGATCTGGCCATTGACCAATTAAATAAGCGTTTTTGGCGTTCATAGACTCCTTTATCCGTCGAACCTGACTAGTTCGGTCGGTTATTCCAGGTCAATCGGTCCCCCACTTATCGGTCGGTTATTCCAGGTCAATTAAAATTCAACTGATCTGGTTACCAACG